AATCTATACATTGAGTGTTCGTTTATCAGTCATTAACTGATCAAGGGATTACAGCAATCCTTTCAACAGCGTACAGTATGTGTACCATTTAATATCTACTGTTGATTTGCATACGCTGTTTAGATTGTGTGTAAGCCCGAAGACGAGTGGATAGATCGGATACGGGCCTATATTTGACTGTATTCGTGACTTTTGGCTCTGACCAAGCTCCCTGTACTGTAGTTAACGACGAAGTCGACCTAGGAATATTAAAAGTCAAGCTTATCAAACCGCGACCGGGTACCAGTCTTATTTCGTGATAGCTTCCATTTGACTGGTGTTCGTCGACATGGTATGTGGGCTGTGCAAATGTTTTAACTTCCAGAAAACAACCCTGAATGATGAGACATTACATGTATCATGGGGGAGGAAAATACAACCTCTGCATATATTATATTGTATCGTTTATTTTTTGAATGCTCTGTAAAAGAACCATCCTTTTTTTGTATTAAAAAGGATGTTGGCTGGAAGCTCCGAAGGCCATATAGGATAAAAAGCCGAAGGGAAATCTGTGGAAATGGAGTTTATTTGATCTTAAATGGATAGGCAAATCCAATCAGCCATCCTTCTATTCTCTTGAAAATAAGAGTTCTCTTAATTTAGCAGACTTGATTAACTCTTTCATGATTACTGCAAAATTTCAGGGAATTGTTTTCATAATAATTATTTTAATATGATAAACGCAACAAGCTATTGACATAAATCGTTCACACGTACCATAAAAATGTTATACAACTCTTTTCATTGGGTGACTATTTTATGAAAATAAAACAAACACTTTACAAACAATTAATAAGATAAAATATTAAGCAAATGAACGTATATATTTTCAAAGCCACTCAGACTTAAAGCAGATTTAGGTGAACGCTAAAAATCCCACGAAAGAAAATTTACTCGTATTGTTGATGGATACATTTGTATGTTTTTTCCTCTGAAAACATTTCTCTGTCCTTGAAGGAAGTAGGCATAATAAAATGTTGCAAAGAGAAATTACTTCACTAATTAAATAAAAGATATAGAAATAGTTGATTGACATCTCTAATACTGTAAACACAAACCCTATCATGCTGAAAACAACCACGTGTCAATACCGAGTTAAGATAAATCAACCAAAGATCGAAATAAGGACGATCATCAATCAAAAATATTCGGAAAAAATGAATCGGCCATTCAATCGTATGTCTCAAGAGAGGAACGAAGGTCATGTCGGATGTTAAAAATGAACCATACTCAAATGACTGGCTGGTTGCACAACGATCTGCAAGAGGAGTTATGTCGATAACACAAACTGGTAACGTCTTTTGAAAAACTTGATACATTCCCAAAATTCTTCAAATCATTCTTTAATAGCAGTTCAGTTGCTCAATTTCAATATGTCAGTGTACAACCTGTACATGCAATTTCATGAATCTGAATTGAAAACAGCAACATGTATTGATTCTGGGCCTATTATACTAGAGTTAGTATAATAGTCCTAGGTTGATTACACAAAATTGGTACCGTCTATTAAAAGTTTGTTCCACAGTCTGGAAAAATTGCTCAAGCAATTCTCCAATAAAAGGTGCACAACTTCAATAATTGTTCAAACCCATCTGTAAATTTTGAGGGATAAGGGTTTCACAGTGTACGAGGAGTAGATAACAAACAAAGGTACCCTCTTATCCACGTCCGGCTGCTCGCCCGTCTGTCACATAACCCGGACATAAATGTATCTCGCTATCCAAACAAAACATATGCGACAGTTTAACAGACTTTTGTTAAACTTTTTTGGCTGCACATGACGTTTTTTGTTTAACTTTTTTGGCTGCACATGACGTTTTTTGTTTAACTTTTTTGGCTGCACATGACGTTTTTTGTTTTAACTTTTTTGGCTGCACATGACGTTTTTTGTTTTAACGTTTTTGGCTGCACATGACGTTTTTTGTTTAACTTTTTTGGCTGCACATGACGTTTTTTGTTTAACTTTTTTGGCTGCACATGACGTTTTGTTTAACTTTTTTGGCTGCACATGACGTTTTTTGTTTAACTTTTTTGGCTGCACATGACGTTTTTTGTTTAACTTTTTTGGCTGCACATGACTTTTTTTGTTTTTACTTCACCATTGGATGTTCCATTTTTTGTAATCCAAACTTCGAGCTTCTTATAGATAATTGTGTTCTTGGTACAAATTGTCAGCATCAACATTACAGGTAAAAGTTTCTGCTTTAAAAACTAGAGGCTCCAAAGAGCCTGTGTCGCTCACCTTGGTCTATGTGCATATTCAACAAAGGACACTCTCCAACACTAGACGAGAATAGAATTCATGACAAACATCTCTGTTTTTATTGATCTTGTATTGCTGATCATTAAGTCTGTTTAATTTCTCTCTGTCTTCTTTAGTTTTTACTCAAAACACAAAAGAGGGTAAAAAAAACCTCATTTAAGCAATCACTCCTACAAAGACTGACAGTTTACTAACTATATAAGCAAAATTTGACTTGTTAGTAGATCTTGCCTTGCTGATCATTTTTGTGATTTAAAGTGTCTATTTATCTGTTATGACTTTTATCATATAAGGCAAAACGCAAAAAATGGTAAAAATCGGCATTTTAGGGCAATAACTCCAATAAGGAGTCGTCGGACGATTTAATTGTAGATCTTATCTTGCTGATCATTTTTGCTTATTTAAGTTTATATCTATTTATTATAATTTTTAAGATATAAGGCAAAAACGCCAAAAAAAAAAAATGGTAAAAAATTGTTATCAACGGGCAATAACTCTAATAAGGAGTGGATTGACGATTTCGACCATGCAGACTTATTTGTAGAACTTGTCTTGCTGATCATTTTTGCATTTTAAAGTTTCTATCTATTATAATTTTTATCATAATAGGCAAAAATGAAAAAAAAAATGGTAAAATTTGTCATTTAAGGGCAATAGCTCCTATAAGAAGTTTGTCTGACAGTTTTGACGTATATGGACAATATTGGTTGAACTCAACATTTTGAACATTTTTGCTTCTGTCAGATTTTCTCTATTTATAACGGTTTTCAAAATAATAGACATAACTTGCATTTTTCCCCTATGTTCTATTTTTAGCCATGTCGGCCATCTTTGTTGGCAGACGGGGTCGTCGGACACATTTTGTTAACTAGATACCCCAATGATGATTGTGGCCAAGTTTGGTTAAATTTGGCTCCATAGTTTTAGAGAAGAAGATTTTTGTAAAAGTTAACAGACGACGACGACGGACGCCGACGAACGACGGACGACAAGTGATGAGAAAAGCTCACTTGGCCCTTTTGGCCAGGTGAGCTTAAAATTGTATAAGGAGATCAACATCTAATAACAATCTCGTATAGGGTGTAATATCCTGCACAACTGATTAATGAAAGAAATCCTAATGCAGTTATATGTACATTAAACTAATCGAATTCAATCACAGAAAAACAATCAAGGTTAACTGGTCAACAAAGCTGATAATCTATAGGCAATGGAGCCAAGATCATGATAAGGTCATGAATAATTGAAACAGTGGATTCAGATACCAATCAAGAATAAATAAGATCAAGGTTCATACATGAAAAACGGGTACCACAAAAAAATTCTATGAAACATAAGTATGAAGGTTTGAAGTATGTAGGATTTCAACTTTACCAATGTTTGTTACAACCCAATGCAGATGAACTATGCATACCTGCTTTTATACAACATTCATCTTTTATCACACAAAAAGTTTAAATGCATTCTAAATGTGCAACAAAGCCTACAACGAAAGAAAAGAAGTATATTGCTACAGTTTTCACTTACATGAAGGTTGAAATACTTTTGAATGACACAGGGGCGGATCCAGGATTTTAGGTTAGGGGGGTGCAAACTTAAATTTTCGCCTGGCAGAGGGAGGCGAATTTTTTTTTTAGGTAAAATTATCGAAATATTCTTTATTAAGCTGAGGACAACCCATGCTTTGCAAATTTTAGGGGAGCGCATGCCCGCCACGCCCCCACCTGAATCCACCCCTGTGACCACATGTGCATTGAAGTTAGCAATCGAGATACTTTTTTATGAAACATTCAAAATGTATTGTAGATCACTGTCCTGTTAATTTCTTTACCTTGGACTTAACTTCTTTCGTTTTTAAAGTTGTAAAGATGTTGGTCTTCAAACAATTTTAATTTGAGCAATACTAAAACAATGTTTTGAAATTAACACTATAGAACTATATATCAAAATTTAAAATATTCAGTTCAGTTCACACAAACTTAAAAAAACACAAGTTGAATGTCATTGAGTCTTGGATACTGTTTTCATTATAGTATCAACAGATGTCATACTTTAGGCCAAAACTATAGTTATAAATGGGAGCCACAAATTATTATTTTCCTCAAATATTGATATCAGCTGGCCTGTTTCAGATTTGTTTTCTGGTTAGATTTGCTAGGCAGTGGTGGTTGCCATCATTGGAAGAAGATTTGGCTTACTGTATGTCATTTTCTATTGACAGTATTAGTTTTACGCCTGAGATGGTCAACCTGGTGCTTTCATAGGGTTAGTGAAGCATAATATAAGATCTAAACTGTAATTTTTTGTGGATGTTAAATATGTGGTTCAAATGATATCATTTGGAATCAAAGTTTTGACCGAATTTCAGCCTATCAATTGCTGCTTATACCTTGACCTTTAATTTCAAAATCAATATGGGTTGTCTAACCCCATGAGAAATTGGAATTATCAAACCAAGTTTGATCTAGATATTGTTTATGACTCAAAAGATATTGTCAGGAAACTGAAGTGTTGATGGCTTGAAGCCTAGAATACATTCAGCATATCATAAACAAAGATCCATTCAATGTATAGTCTGTCTGTTGCAAGTGATCTGTGTGACATAAAGAGGAGATGTTATATGGGTATTTTCAAGTTTATCATAATTTCGTCTTCCTACAACTTTTCAGTTAATCAACAACTGATAAAAAAAACTTAATTAAAGTAATATTTATTTTATTCAACAGGAAGAAGCACATAAAATATAGGTAATATCACAGCAAATTTGAAAATACTGATCTGAAATCATACAAAAAATAAATAAGGTTTTATCACAGCTATGTATAAGCAAAATGCTGAATGATTGTAAATATGTTATCAACTTACAAAAAGAGCAAAAACATGGGAGTTCATCTTTATAAAAATATGTGTCTATAAAAAAGTATATTTTTTTCTTATATGATATGATACCACATAGAATAGGAAGTGTTATTTTAAAGGTTTTATGAGTGAATGTAGAAATATAAGTTTTCGAGGTGTTTCTATTTGAAAATTTAAAATATTTTCTAAATTTATCAACGTTACTGTGTAAAAGTAAATATCACATAGTGATTAATATTTCATTGCATTTTTATATCAATTCGCAAAACAGTATCAAATTTAATGACTTTTTTCTTTTATGCAATAATAAAACACTAATGCATAAAATAAGTTTATTGCCTCAACAACTTTTGATTAAATATTTTAAAATCAAGATATATCTAAATGGCTTTTAAACTGAAACATTTACATACATGGCACTTTATAGCAAATTTAGTTCAACTTTAAAATAAACCGTTTGTATATAAAAATAAATATATGGCTGAATTTTCCCTAAGGTCATAACATTTTGTCCTGTCTTACAGTGTACCCATATTGACAGACAATGTACTCAACTAAATAAGTTACTGTCAAATTTCAAATATAGTATACTGTGGATATATTTTTTTCCTGGGTATCAATTTTTGTGGATGAAGAAAAAGTGAATGTTCGTGAATACATGATTTTTCAATCCATTTGTACTTGGTTGAACACTTTAACTTCTGGTTTACCTATGTCCATAAAATCAAAAAAACATTGGTTCCCCACAAATAAAATAATGAATCCACAGGACTGTATAAAAACTGGAGAGTTTATGCAATTACAGTAAAACTTGTCTAGTATTAGCTACAGTACATCACAATTAAAAGCTTTTATTTGTGCAAAAAGATATGTGTAGAAGAATGTAAAATACAGGTGATTCATTTTTTGTTCTTGATTAAATATCATTTCATTAATGACCATTCAACAATTCAATTCAAAATTATCTTAAATGGAAAACATAACATGAAAAGATAACATCAAATAATGTTTTTTTTTCAAATTGTGATCAATTATTTCTATTTTGAAATAAAAAAAAAAAAAGAAAGCACTCTGAATACAAGATATTGAGTGCAAATTGTCAATAAATATTAGATATTTTCACCAAAAATATAAAATAAATAAAAGTGTTGACTTTAATACATAACAAAAAAGTGCAGATAATTATTGTGATGTATACAGATTCGTTTTGTAAAATGAAATAAAACTTAACTAGACTGTAGGTTATATAATAATAACAATTAATATATAAATGCAGACATTATCACAAGATTTTAAGACTTTTTTAAAAACAACAACATTCCTCTTCGTTCAAAATGATTAACAGGAAACATAGACCATTTGGTTGAAGTAAGTAAATAATGTAATCAAAAGTTTAATTTAATCTTATTTTTTATACTGTACCTCCAAATATCTTTACACGAAAGATAAGTACGATCATTACAGAAAAACAAATGATTAAAATGATCTGACAATTTTACAACGGTTTTGATAATATTCATTCAGAAAATGTTGATCTTTTTTTGTATTTATTACGAATTTTCAAAAATACACTTTGCCAAAAGAATAAATGGGATATTTTTTGTCCTCTGTTTTTTTTTTTAATCTTATACATTACTTAAGTGAACGTTAATAACGTCAAAGCAGAGTTGCATATTTTCAAAATAGTAATCCACTTCTTTTGGCAGTTATTATATTACTGTTCAATAATTTTTCATATGACTGGTCATATATTTTCCTCAAAATATAAAGTTATTGCATGAAACAAACAAAAAACCAACACATTAATTCATAAAAAGCAGTATTAACAATAAGAAAATCGTAGAAATCACACAGCATCTGTTTAAAGGTTTTACTAATGCATTGTGAATCCTGATGTAACAGTTAACTTTGTAAAAAAAAATAGATCTAATAAATTTTTGTTATCAAAAACTATCAAATTAAATCAAAAATAAAAAAAACATAAAACACAGCAACATACCCCCCCCCCCCCCCCCCCCCTCCCCCTTTTTAAGAAATAAATTAGAATAAGAAACCCTTTAACTTCTAACAACAGTTTGAAAAAACTTATTTTTGTAGTTTTTATTTTTCAAGTTACATCCTGACATGAATTCCATCTGTCACTTCTATAATTAAAAGATTTCAGCTGCGTCAATAATTTAAATAATTCAAGTGGGGAAAAAACATCCTTGACAGTTAAAGTGTAGTGCAGTAATCAAACTAAAGTGTAAGACCACTTGAAAGTCTAACTTACAGAAAAACAATAAAATAAAAGTACAATTAAATTTGTTTAAAAAGTGCTTATGTTTGTATATATAAAAATAGTGTGTATGAAAATAATGAAATTTGTTTTCTCAGACAGAAATATTTGAAATAAAAGGGCAAAGTTTCATATAGAGAAGCAATCTCTATTTAAAGGGACATACAATCTTTGTGATAATTTCAATAGGACGTAAAGTATGTTATATGGTAGAACCTGATTGAATTGCCAAGTAACTCAATTGTTTCTGGTAGTAATCACTTTTTTAGTATATAACAACAAAGAAGTATGCACAATTAGATGTGCTCTCTGATTTTCGCCCACAAGATGAACAATTTGCAATGTGTAAATTGACGATAGTTTTGTTAAGGAGATAATAAGATTATGTTAATCATAACGGTGCTTAAGAAAGTTGACACCAGATGACATCCATTTTTTTTAATCCTAGAACTGTAATATCGTTCATCATCTAATATTGATTTGGGTTCCCCATGGACATGAAATTATGGTATAATAATATCATAATCAATATTCTTCAGTAAAAAAATTATCTTCAACATAGAACACATTTTTTACTCTCTTATGAAATGTTCTTTTTTACATTTGTTTTCTATTCAATCTTAACCACTTCTATCCAGGGTGTAAAATTATACTGTAAATTAGCCAACTGGGAAATTACAAGAAAAAAAAAAACTGACCATTCATCACAATGTTTTGCAAGATTGTGTGAACAGATGATAAATTGCCAGGTCAAATTTTTTATTCTGTTACTGATTGAGGACAAAATATTATCCTCTGAAATGCAAACAGACTGTTGTTTAATCCTACTGCTAACTGAAAGGTTCAATATTACAAAACCAAAAAACAAAGAAGACTTCATAAGTTTTATTTACTTTTGTCTCATCCCTTTTGCATATTTGAGCGAATAAAATATGTTTAAACCCAACAAAAACTATTATTTGAACTTTGGTGGATAGTTGTCTCATTGGCAATCATACTACATCTCCTTATTTTAATATGTCCTAAGTTAGTAAATTCTATAGTTTCGGGTAGAATTATTTTTTTCTTTTAACAGACAATAGTTTTTTACAATTAAATGACATTTTTTTATGAATGGGATTAGTTTCAGTTTGACCTCATTGTATGCACAAAAAAAAACTCATTCAGATGTCTCATACATACAACATGAAATGTAAGCTAGCTTTCAAAATTTTAAAACTGATCTTGTAATAAGAGTAAAATTATCATAAAAAAATACATACATACATACATACACAATCCAACTAAACAGAAGAAAAAAAATGATTGAAAAAAATATAGATAAAAGAAATAGAAAAGAAACAAAACGAAAAATTAATAAATAAAGACATACATACATGGAAAGATTTATAACTTTCCATCAAAACAAAAAATCAAATAAGATTACCAACAAATATTTTCACTGTAATAGTGTAAAATTATCATAAAAAAATACATACATACATACACACACACAAACATGTTAAATTCCAACTAAACAGAAGAAAAAAATGATTGAAAAAAATATATATAAAAGAAATAGAAAAGAAATAAAACAAAAAATTATTAAATAAATACATACATACATGGAAAGATACTAAAACTTTCCATCAAAACAATAAATCAATTTAGAGTACTAACAAAGATTTTCACCTTGTAGTATCACAGTTAAAGAGAACTGCATTAACAAAATACTTTTAAAACAATAAAAGAACTACGACAATGTAAACATATAAGCTCTGCATAACTGTACACGGTTTTGAACTAATTCATATAAAAATGAAAATGAGTTTAAATTTCATATTTAACATTTGTAGAAAAACAAAAAACAAACTAAATTGGAAATATTCCATCCTTTTATAATAAAATAACCCTTCGTGCAAGAAACTTATACATGATAGCAAACGCTTTTTTATTTACAATATAACACAATTTAGAAATTGACTAGTCAATAACAAAAATAAACATATTTTATCACAACAACATGGTGTCATATCACAGCTTAAAATGTGCAAAACGATAACACACAAGCACTTTGAGCAAAACCTGGCAGTCACTTATCACAGTATATAATAAAACCCATGATATTCCACACTAGATATGTATATAAATTAAATGCTGTAAACTGATTTAACTTTGCATCTATACTCAGACATTAAAAAAAATTGAAGGTTCAAGTTTCAAAATATATCTTCTGCCTATATTAAAAGGTTTATAATTAAGTAGCTTCAAGAATCCTCGTTAAATGTTCCATCTTATAAGAAAATCACAAGCATATATATCTATTATAATGATGGATACTCAACAAGCAGACTTATCAAACATAGTATAATGTATTTATAATGGTGACATCTGTGTTATCTCCCTTTTTACTACATAAAATCAATATATTCAATTCTGTTTGATAAGGTACTTGCCGAGAATTTTCTTACATATAGAAATGATATAATTAAACATATACACTCTGGGCACTTCAAAAACTTAACTTTCGAAACTTTTATTCAGTGTTTATACAAATGTTTATCATTTCATAATTTTTTGCACAAACTTGGTTTACAAATAATTTGATAAGAGTTAAACATCTCACAATTTGACTTATAACTGGAATTTCATTTATTTTTGAGGGCACCAATTTTGGATGATCAAGGAAAAAATATGATACTTGGTTTTATGGTTTTGACAATCTCTGCACACAAGTCTACAATAAATTTGTATATTGTTGAATCCTTATATTTGAGTTTATCTTTACCCTTGAAATCCACAAAAATGAGTAATCCACAAAAAATAATGAATCCACATGATATTTATTTCAGTATTTATGTATACATATGTAGATTAACTAATCCAGTTATGCTCAGTCTTATAATAAAACTGTTATCTATTAACGTAACTTTCTCATGATGCAGGAAACAGAAGAGAGAAACTTATATACAGAGGAGTTCTAATCTTGTCCAACTGTAATATCTGGAAAAAAAAGAGAAAATTTTGCATAAAATAAAAATTTAATGATATTTTTTACCTACAATGTTTAAGGTATGCCTTAAAGCACACTTTCTGAAATATGCCGTACTATCGACCAGTCCAACAATTATTCTGTTGAGCAGACAAATATTGGCTATTCATCAGTCTAAATGTCCAGCAAACAAAAATACTTGATAAGATGTAATTTTTCAAAATATTATTGTTATTAGAGCTAAATTTTGCAGGTTTGATCCCTGATCTTATCAAAGGTCAATTGCTGCTACTCAAATTGGAAAGTGGCATTAAGGACCACCACCAAAGACTGGTTAGTTCTTGAGTTATAAAAATATGGCCAGATAAACTGACATGTCTTCCTATGGACTGCTCTCTTTGAATGCTGACAGGTTAATCCTCTAGCTCAGCATGTCATGTAAAACAAATGAGATTTCATGTTCATATCAAAACACCATGTTATATTTCTGAACATCTGAATATGCATGCAATATGTTCCACTTGACATTGAGCAGCCACTTATCAATCCAGATATTTATTTTAAATTGTTTTAATATACATTTTTTTGTAATAATAGCACCTGTACATTTTATTTCCTTTCGTTAATATCACTTTACCATTCAAATAATGTTTCCCAAAGCTGATTGATTAAGCACCAGACTAATAAAAAACCCTGAGGGTTGAAAACACAAAGTTTAAGCTGTTGTGAAAGCAATATATCAAAGATGAATAGAATCTTCCAGTTATCCTCATCTTACAATAACTTACATACAATGCTAAATATGTATCCTTCAACTTCCATCATTAACAGAAAAAAATATAATTCGGAATAAATGTTAAATAAGTTCAACTTGAAATATCTTTTTAAGTTAATTTGATAAAATTTTCAGCTAAATTGTTCTTCAGAAACCAATGTACAAAGTATCATTAATTACAAAGGACCTAACTTGATTAAAAAATTAGCCCAGTATATAAGAAGACAGACATGAAGACAATTTTAACCTTGTATGTAATGATAGATTGTTCATTTTCTAACTATAAAGAAAGACAGGTTTTGTCATGGGAGATTCTCTCCTAAGAATAAAATTTAATTTGTATTTGGTAAAGAAGTCCATTTCTGTCTGTGAAATATAAATCATCAAGGTGAAATATATTTATTCGCTTTTCTCACACTTTTATTCTTCTCACAAGAGAACAATTAAATAAGTAACTTTTTGCTATATCTGATTTTCTCAAAGAAAAAGTTCGATAAAATATGACCTAAGAAAAATAATATGTTATCCTATTCTGACCGACTTGCAAATAAACAAGTGGGAAGAAAGACAACCTATTTCTATTAAACATCATCAAACTTCTACTAAAAATCTTTAAATATGTATTTGTATTTTCTTGTGCAACTTTCAAAGAAAGCAAATTTTCATGACAATAAGTACACAGGACTGTTAAAGATAATTAGGGGAATGATTATGAATTTAAGTAGCACATTTGTATAAAAGGAAAATAACCGAGAAAAAGCCCCAAAATACATAATATATTTAAAATATTTTTAACAGTGTAACAACATATTCATTAAAAATCTTTTAGTGTTAAAATTTAAATCGTATTCTTTTTAACAGTAAAACCTGATTATATATATATAAAGTGTGAAATTCATTGCTTCTTTTTTCCATATCAGCAGACAACCAATATAATCATAGATACTTCAATAATTGCAACTTGTTCGTAAAATGGGATTTTGATACATTCGGATGAAACATTTCAACAGAGGCTTAGGTTTCATAAAAATCAATAGAAAACATAAATTTGATTTAAACACCAAAACTTACCTCACTTTTACCTACTTTCTCACCCAATCCAAACTTTTGTGATACTATTCCTGTTGTTTTTAAGTCATCCCCTGAGTCTTGTACCATTATACAGTACCTAACTTCACGATCTGTCCTAATAGAAAATGTGTGACGCTCACATTGGCGGAAACTTAAAATTGGGTCTCCAGGTTTTAATCTCTGAAAAATTATTTATCCAACATCAACATATTCAAAGAATCTATATTTCGCTATATATATTAGATACTGTAAATTCAGAAATTATTGCATGCATTAATTATTGCAATTTTTAAAGAATGGACACAAATGGGAGATAAATTATTGCGATTTCAGGAAAATCTTCATACAGATATATGTATCAGATATCAGAATGTAAGTTCTTATTATTGTGATACTCAACCAGTCGCATTATTTGCTTTAATAAAAAACCTCGCAATAATTTCTTAATTTACAGTACAATTTTTCCCTTTATTATTGTCAATTATTCAAAATTTACACCATGAACACTGTATACCATTATATTTTCCAGTCAAAATTAAGGTTCTATGTTTGTCACATACTGCAATGCAAACACATGATCAAGGGAATGTAAAAGTACTATCTTTATTATTTTTTTTTAAATTTTCTATTTTATAATAATAAATGGCTGCTCTTCGTGTCCTCAGAATTGTAATATTTTTTCGTTTCACTAAGATTTGGTCCAACTAATCTTAGGTATTTAGAGCTGTTTTCCTAATGCTTGTAGTTTAAAGTTTGGTTGGCTTGCTTGCTTTCTTGTATGAATGTTTGCTCAAGCATTTAATTAAGATTGACATCTACAACCAATAGATAGATAAGGCTTCAGCTTGTATACATTATACTCTGCATTATACTTAACATCCAATAACATTTAAGTATAATGTATACAAGCTGAAGCCCTGCCTATCTATTGATTGCAGATGTCAATCTTACTTACAATGCTTGAGCAAACATTTATACAAACAAAGCAAGCAAGCCAACCAATCCTTTAAACTACAAGAATTAGGCAAACAGCTCTAAATAATCAGATGATAATTGCCAGACAGACATATACACCTTACAATCATTCCATACACCAAATATAGTTGACCTATTGCTCATAGTATTAGAAAAACAGATCAAACAAGAATGTGTCCATAGTACATGGATGCCCCACTCGCACTATCGTTTTCTATGTTTAGTGGACCATGAAATTGGAATCAAAACTCTAATTTAGCATTAAAATTAGAAAGATCATATCATAGGGAACATGTGTACTAAGTTTCAAGTTGATTGGACTTCAAATTCATCAAAAACTACCTTGACCAAATTTTTTAACCTGAAGTGGGACGGACGGACGAACGAACGGACGGACGAACGAACGGACGGACGAACGAACGGACGAATGAAAGAATGGACGCACAGACAGAAAAACACAATGCCTCTCTACTATCATAGGTGGGGCATAAAAATAATCACTACTGGTGATTCCTACTCTTTGGTTCTTCTCACTATATGTTGTTGTTTCAGTTGTTATCGAAAGAAATTCTGAACAAACATTCTGTAAAGATCATCCAAGCAATGTTTGATTAAAAATTTGAAGAGTTGATTCAATAGTTTCTCATGAAAAACTGTTTTCAAGTGGTGGCCATATTAAATGTGGCCAGGGTTATAAAAGATGAATGTTGTCTATCATCTTAGGTTCACACAGGTGAAAAACCTGATACCTATTGTATTTTTTTAAAAAGTATTTAATACCAACAGCAATAGTTGGAATCTTTTTTTATATCTTTGGTCAAGAAAAACAAGTAATGCAGATGTTTACCAAAATATTCTATATAATTTATAAATGTTCAGTCCAGTGGTCAGCAAAATCACCATTTTTAATCTAAACAAGAATACTCAATGGACATTCAAGTTGGTTCAAATTGTCCAAATAGTTTTAGAGAAGGATTTATAAATAAGAATTTAAGTAGATATTGGGTATATACAGACATGTTGGGTATTGAGACAGCAACCACACACACACACATAAATCAAAAGACATCTAGAGGTCAACTAAAAGATAACTGAAAACAGATCCAAAGTGATGGAAATATCTCACATATTTGACCAGTAACAACTGGGTGTGCCAGGGAATAATTATTCCAATTCAATCCATGTCATACAAATACATTTGTTTAAGAAGGTTAAATGCAAATAACTATTTCTCTTTTTCATAACTTAAACATTTACTATAGTTTGAAAAGAAATACAACATTGCATCAGCAAACTAGCTCCACTAATGATATATACTATTATACAATAATAAAATGCTAAAACAAATAATAGCAGTTACAATGACTATAAATATAACATCCCGTACCTGCATATATATAGATAATTGGCCTATAGCGTTTCTAGCAGCTTTTAATTCAAAGTGAAACCCGTGTATGGATAACACTTCTGAGTGATAATGTGGTTCCTACAAATATATAATCATTTATAAATTAAAGTGAATATTACCAGTTTTAATTTTGGTTATTCTTCTACAAAAAGAAAAAGAAAAATTCAGTGTGATCAGATAATAAAATACCTAGTTGTAGCTTACATTGAAAAGGTGCTTGCAATCAGCAAGAGGCCTTTATCTTCAGTCTAGGTCACTGGCAGTAAAGTTGACCCTCAGTGCCTGGTAATCTTTTAATATTTTTAACTGTTTTATCTTTACAAAATATTTTGACACTGTTATATCTATATACAATTTTTTTTAACCATAAATGATACTTCTATACACAAGGATTCAATAAAATTTAGTCTCCTGGCTTCTGCAAAATTCGAGAAAAGAATATTTGCTATATATATATATATATATATATCTATGATCACCTAATACTTAAAACCATTGCAAACCACCTTTTACAGAGATTTCTGAGACTAATTTTATGCTATTTGACACCGAAGCTTACACTGAGGATTGTAATTTCTCTCAACAAGAAACTTCTACTATAATACATATAATGCATTTGTAATAGAACATTTTTAAATCAGAGTTGTCTCCCCTTCCCCAGCAAAAATTCAGATACGTGTACTTTGGCTCTTTCATAAAAAATCTGAAAGATATACTGAATTTTTTTGTGAGATGAATAGCTGGGTTATATTCAATAATATGCTTATCCCATTTTATGTATTGTCAAGAAACCATTAATATGTTTTTTTTAAACGGTCATCTAATATGATTTTTTTTTTTTTATTTTCATCATATTCATTAAATAGCTAACAATGATTAACATTCACCAAGTAGTAATCATTACTTTGGTCTCTCTGTAGCAAGCTAAAAGAACATGTACATGAGGTTTTCGGAGATGACCCTACGTGGGTAAAACCCAAGACCGGAAAATTTCTATTGGCTTGTTATTGGCCAAGCACACAGCCTTTAAGATTAAAACCAAAGACTTTTTAGCTCAGAGTGAGAATAATGTGTCAAAAAAGCATAGAAAATGTTCTTGAGGACTATTATTTTGTTAGTCATTTTTTTTAGTTTGAATATGTCATTTGAGATTAATTTAGTAATAATGACTTGAATGAGTGAGCAACCAACAATCAATCAATTGAATGAGTGAGCAGATGGGTGAATATGAAGTTTACGTTTTCATGTCTTGTCCTAACCATATCCCATTGTCTTAGGTTGAAACCTGTTATGTATTTTTTTTTGTAAAATTTTAATTGTGTATTTCATGTTGATGAAACCCACAAGTAGATGTTGGCTGTTGGCAATCTTCTGTATATGTTGTGTATATATTACCTCATCAATAATGAATCCTTGTCTAATAGCGCCTGTGTTGAAATGCTTTAATGCAGACATATCTCCCCCACCTTGTAGCTGAAACAGATTTATAATGTAAAGTATGTAAACCTTTCTTGACCTCATTAAAATAGTGTAAAAAAAACCAAGTCATTGGCTCATTTCAAATTATTTAGCACACTGATATATGATAACGCAGTTGCTATTTTACATAATTGGAAAAATAATAACTACAAAGCATATGTTTATCTTTCAATCAGGAATTTCTTGTTTAACCTGCTTACATAGACAATGTTAAATTTTACCATAAACTTGTTTAAATATTCATATCCATTGTTCTAAAGGCCGGTCTTCCTCCAAATTTTACATCAAGTTTGTTTCAATTCTGTCAATTTGTTTTCAAGGAGTTGTGGATTTACTAACTGACATAAGCAGAAATGGCTTTGACAATGTTTTGAAAGAAAAAAAATATCAAAATCATACAGATAAAATTTGAAAGAGCAAGTGCATTACAAATTATTAAGGGGAGAATGTGGTTGACAATTTCAACCCCATACAGCAGAATTGATCCCAATGTTTTGCTTCCGACGGATTCTGTCATGTGACACAACAAACATCCCTATGTTAAACTTACAGCATGATAATGTTGTGTTAATAAATCTATCAACTGACTCTGTGGTAAGATGTTCATCAACTGCATATCTCTGATTTGATTAGCTGAAATTATAAAAAGAAAACATAATTTCGAAAAATATAGCGTTGAAGTGCTTTTTAATTTTTTCATGGGGTATATGTAACACAGTTTCTATTTATGAAAAAAAATATACCCCAAAAGAAACAATGATGTAGGTTAATATGATTCTATCACAAGAACTAAAATTGCCATATAAGTCATAGTAAGCAAATGCCATGTTTAAATAAATTCTAATATAATTTCATCTATACTTCTTTGCTGTCTAGCTAATGAATGAATGATTACTTACTATCTATAATTCCTTGTAATCTGACGGCTGAAAACAATGGTCCATAAATTTGGCCATCATCTCTTTCTAGAAATGATCCTGTTTTAGGTAAACTGGAAAGGAAACAAAGTCTTCTCATTTTCATAAAACAAAACAATTTTCTTAAAATACTCTTTAATCATATCTCCTTTGATTGTTGTTACTAATATTTTGCTTTCTTGGGAGGCAATATTATTAAAAAAAATAATCATCTGTTGCCATCTTAGCTAGTCCAGAAAAGGTAGTTTATATAACTCTATTCACAATTTAAAAACTTGTGTAATGGCTACTCAATGTATAATGTCACAAATGAATGACGATTGTATACAAATAAATAAAATTCTAATGCAACATCGTTTGTAACGTTCATTTTGATTGGATAACGTCACCAATACTCATGGCATCAATTCACAATTGATGCTATGGATACGTACACGCAAGCGCAGACAACGTATGACAGATTTTAAAGGTATGATTTGACGCTAACACGTCATCAGTAAACTTAATTTGCACCATCAAATCACCAATTGATGCCGTCTGAGGTTAAAATACAATACAGTTATCTCCTAAATATATGTATATTTTAGTTTGGACATTTGTTCCAGACCCAACATTATTTCATATTTTTAAATGACATTTTCTGGGGAATACATCATTATCCACAACCATCTACAATTTTTTTTTTCATTACTCTAACAACTACGGGAATAGAATCATTACCACAGAGATATGTACCTTTTCACTTTTCTGTCTGTATAAAAAAATATGTAACAATTAAGGTATAATTGAAATTATCAATATCACCTAAAAGAAAAAACTAATAAAAAAAAATGCATCTTACTTTATCTTTACTGGGTATTCATATTTATACACATTTATGGTTGAGAATATTTGACAAAATAAAGAAAAAGGAACATTTTCTATACAATTAGCTCACAGAAAGTTGCTACAAAAAAATCACTACTTGAAGTAAGTGTGAAGTTTCATTTTTAATGTAAAGCTTAACTTGTCAATTATTAAAAGATTTAATAAAAATATCGAAATAATTTTGGTATGACAGTCAGTAACTTAGTGTAAACAAGTATGATTACAAAATGCAATCAATCCAGGGATTAGAAAACAAGTGAATAACCACTTATCCAAATCATTTCCCAGCTCTTATGTAACTTGGAAGAAAACAGTACCTTTCTTCAACACAGTGCCAAGAATACAGTTTATAGAGTTGTAAAGTCTTACCTATTAAAGTATGATAATACTGTACTATGAGATGGCATTAACTGGATACTTGGATTTAGTTGTAGGAATAACCAGTATGATAAAGTTCTGTATACAGTATACTCATTTGGTACATATAACCTGTAAAATGTAATATAATTGTGTATAGGGTTAATATACAGTGTACACATTTTGTACATATGTTAGTCTCAGATCTAGGGCCAGTCTTTTTGACGTCTGATATTGGTGTCACAGTATTAAATCAAAGTCAAAAACTTGAATCTTCTAATGGACGTCCAACAATCTGACATCATATATCATCAACAACCAAATCTGATACAAGTCTCTCCATATTGATGTACAGCATGGATTAATAATTTGTTCCCAGATTGTTGTCTTTTTGTGTTCTCTGCAGTAATATTTTTCTTTGTATTATTATGCTGCATAAATAGACTTCTTAAGAAATCATGCATGTAACGTTTGTTATTTAGGTATTGACTAATGGAAACAAATGGTAAAGAAGACAACATCTCGTCCCTAAGAAACAACTTTACCAAAGTATAAGGTAAACAAGTAGTTATGCAATCCTTTAAAGATGTAAACAAATAAGTGCCTTGTTAATTTATTAATAAAATAACTAACCTATTAGACTTGAGTATTTTCTGTAACAGTTCCATGCTGATTTCTCTAAGGTATATCTGATTTGACAACTGAAAATGAAAGAAATCATTTTATAACAAAAAGTTGTAGGTTAAAGGTCCAAGTCTATAAGGATATTTTGTAATTTAGATAAGTCAAGTTTGTCATTGAATACATGATTGGTCAATTTGTATCACATGGTTCTGCAGCTAATGTTTTATATCTTGAAAGATTACTACAAAACTCCTTGATGATGCCATGTAAAAGGTGCTTTGCTCAATGCCTTTACATGCCATTACAACAACAAAAAATCTTAATAAAACATTAAAAGTCAATTTTCATATCATGTGGCTTCTTTGAATAACGATAAAGCCATTGTGTTAGACTTGTGTGAACATGTTTTACTTTTCATAAAAGAAAGTTGAAACACAACCTTGGAAAAAATACCTACTTCTGGTAACAAGTTCAGTTCTAACCATCTTTCACAAGCTTTCACTACCTCTTCTTGTTGATACTGAAAAATACATCATATTTATAATAATTACATTTCGAATAATACTTATAAATCATTTTTAACCAAAAAAAACTACATTTCACAGCTAACACAGCTGAATTTTGTAGAAAATTCTTGCATTTTTTTAGAATTACAAATATCACTAAGCAGAACTTGGGAACAGTTATGATTAATTCATCTAAATCACTTGAAAATGTATAAGGGTAAACTATTCTGATCAGAAATCACAATAAATTAGACCCTAAATACTCAATACAAATTAAAACCTTCTTTTAATCAGGATTTAGCTAGGACTCTGAGGGCTTTAATCACTTTTATTTCATACGATTTTTTATTTTTTTTGCATAACAGCATAGGACTAAGGTAGTAATAGTTTGGCCTTAATTCGTGGTTTAACACATTTTGAACATGTACTCTCATTTCCATTAGCAGCATTTCATTTATATATAAATAAAAATAAAACAATAAGGATTAGAACTGTCTATAAAGATACATTAGAATAGATACTATTTGACATTTAAACAGCTACTTATATAAATAAATAGGAATAGAAAAAAATGACGTAAAAATAAAGAATACAGGAAAAAGACCCTGCCCCCTTTTTCCCTTCCCCCATCAAGACCCTCTTAGCTCTTAACTCAAAAGACCTCCTAAACCTTTATAGAGTATAGTCAGATGGATAGACACAGATCTTGAGTATATCTTTCAATACTTGGAAGAATGCATATGGAAATTGATTTTTATTTCTTGGTGCTACAACCTTTTGGAGGTTTATGCACAGTGATTCAATAGCGTTTTTTTTAATTCTACAAATTTAAAGCAACGAAATTGATCACAAATATATTTGTTATTTTATAAATCATTTAGCAAATGGTGAAAATGATGAATGCTAGCTAAATCACTGTTTTATGGCACTGAAAATGTTTGCATAAAAGTATAATTTGTAAATGAGTTGTTTTTTATGTCAAGTTTTTTGCTGTATTTTATAAAATTGACAAGTTCCTTGCCTCAGGTTTGATATTATTGAAGGAAAATCTGAAGTGCAAAAGTTAAAACCATAGATCTTTAAAGGGCATATGATATCCTTTTGTAATAATCAATAGACATAATTGTGAGAAATCACGATTTAAAGTACTTCTTTTTATATACATTCTATAAGTTTATAGATGTATTTCATAAATTTTTAATGGATTGTATCTCTCAATTTATAATACTTCATATTTTTTCACCCATATTCAGATGGACTATAATAAGTTAAAAGTGCAAAGAAACCTGATTTACTGCCAAATTAGGTATACTTGGAATATATGAGAGAGAAAAAATGAAAATTAAAAAGCCAAAAAAACACAAACATATAAAAGAAAACAAAAAAAACAATTGAACAGTAAATAAAACAAACATCAGAATAACTTACCTTTGTACAAGCATGGTGATATCTACACACAGTTTTATAGGAAATGTTATTTAGCATTAATCTTGCACATCTGAAAAAAAAAAGTAATTTATTAAAAAAGAAAAAGTCCAACCCCAGAGGTTCTAAGTAGGATCTCTACAAAACAGAGTCATCAATATAACAGAACAGTAATCACAAAGTTTATTTCATTTCAATGTGTTTCCAGTATAGGAGTAATACCACCATTGTTTTCCCCTATTAGTCTTTGTTAAATTTGCACTTTTCAAAAAATTGTGCAGAATTTATCTTTGTTTCAAATAAAGAAATACTTGGCATCAGTAAAGTTTTATCCTGTCCAGTAATACAGACAAAATTTCACACAACATTTCATTGCATATAAGATAATAACCATCACTGGAAGTTAACCAATCAAATTTTCAACCCTTTTTTTCCTGTGTACAAGCTTTAGTTACCATGTAACCTCAAGTTTTTAAAATATTCTATAGAAACACCAAATAAAAAAAAGAATGGTGCTTTGAAACACCCAAGATATATGTTTATGACTCAGAATTTTTTTACTGCAATAAAATGTAGGATTAATTTCCTACAACTGTCAAATTCAAGGGAATGTTTTTTTCGAACCTTTTTCGTATGCAACCGGATGTGACGTTCTATGATTTGGTGGTATTACACCTATACAGGATATTGAATTGTTTTGTTTTCAAAATCAGTATAAAATAATAAATACAGAGTACATTTTAATGTTCAGGAAAATGTCTTAATGTTTGACCAATTCCTTGTCATGGTACTTCATCATATACATAATTTAGATCAATTAAAATAGCTTCTACCCTTATTTTGAAAATATTTATGCATCATTGAGTTACACACTTATGTGCAAGTGAACACTTATGTATTATAAATGTGAGCAAGACCAATACAGAGTCTGGACCTAACATCACTGCATGATATTGATTGAGGTAACATGTATACTGGAGCATAACTGATCATTCCCTTTCACTGATGCCCAGAAAACTTTGACGAAAATCTTCCTTGTACAATGAGTGATGTAAAATTTAAACTCTCAGCAAACAGGAAGTAGCTACACAATAGATGTAAAAATTGCTTACTTGCTACAGCTCAACATTATCAAGCTGCAGACAAAATATTAAATTTATTTTGTTCAAAAGGAGCAAAGAAAAGTTTGACCAAATTTTACCTTGTATAATGAGTGCTCTAAAATTTCAACTATGAACAAACAGGTAGTGGATACAAGGCACATGCAAAAATTGCTTACTCGCTACAACTCTACATTATAAAATTGAAACCAATTTCATAGAAGCCAAGAAAATTTGGACGACAGTTTTCTTTCTTTCTTTTGGATGGACTGACAAGAATCGTGCGATAACTAGACCTGCTTTTGCCTTTATGTTTTTTTGTTTTTTTTTAAAATAAATGGAGAATGTGTCTATGGGACACAGATGATGCCCCCGCTAGCATAACATTATAAAGGGACATAACTCAAGAACGGCAAAAATGACACCACCCAAATTCAAACTTGACCTGTGTTTTGTGGTAATAATCATTGTGTATAAGTGTCATAACATTTGGTAGAGGCAAATTAAAGTTAAAGAATGGAAACCAATTTCAGGAGGTATGTACATACAGATGGGTGGACGTACAGACTAACAAGTGTAACACCTAATGCCCCCTCTGCTATGGCGGGGGCATAAAATTTAAATCAAAATTAATAATATCTTGACAAACTTAATCTGGCTAAAATGCTTTTAAATAAAAAAAAAACTCAAAAAGATTGATCAATGTTTAATTTTTAGATTGATATAGGTTTACCTTTACATTTACAGATAAACAAATCACATTTGTCTGCCATTCAATAACAAAACTAACAATACTCTGATGACAGGATATCTTATTCTTTGTTTCAGAATCTTAAGGATTTCGGGTAAATGTTTTGTTTGAACACAGAAATGAAAATAATATTGAGCCATTGGATGGACACCAACTGTAAAGGGCATTGTTAGATTTAGATTCTGAAATAGTGAATACGGGAATTACAACTTATGCCCCTTCTATGACAAGCAAAGTGTGCCTGTGTTAGGGTTTTTCCATTAAAAAGGATGCACGAATGTAGGAAGGGACTTCCAACATAGGAACTTAGTAACTTAGATGAGTCCATCAGATGACATACAACCATGAAGACCTATGGTCCATGTCCAATAATAAAACTTCCCTGCATTCCCTCGAACATTCATTCGAATGGGAAAGGCCTAAGGAAAAAGTTTCAAAAAAAAATTAGTCTAAATCAGACAAGAGGCTGTCAGAGCGATAGCAAACTGGATTTTTTAACATTTATTTGTGTCCTGGCATTTTTCAATATCACAAGAACCATAACTCCTGAACAGTGAAAGTGAACATCACCAATATTGAACTTGACCTCCATTTTGTCATCAGTAACAACATATTAAAATTTGAAAAGCTTTGGTTGAACAGTTCATGAGTAAATGCACGGACACTGTTTGGCAGCTGCCCGCCCGCCCGCCGTACATCCCAAAATCAATAACTGATTTCTCTTTCGAAAATCCGGTTAAAAGTTTAACTTTGTTATAAATACGTCCAGACCAGTGAATCCTTACTCACCCATTTTGTAAAGCTTTATAACCAATATGTGAAGATGCAGCAAGAACGTTAGCTACGTCTTCCATATCAACGTCTAACTCATCATGGTAAAGGTTACCAAGAGCAACAGCCATGGCTAAAAAAAACATGTATGTTTTAAACACAAGTTTGTCTAATTACAATTAAACTAAACAATGCAAAAGGATTTCAATATTCATAAAAACAAAAATGTTTGCACTTATGCAACAGAAAAGGTTGGATGCAGTGTATCAATTAACTACACAAAATCCATATACACACATGACAAAGGAACATTATACACATCATTTAGACTATGGTGGATACTTGTCTCATTGGCTTTCATACCATAACTCACTTTTTTTTATAAAAATCATATAAATTAATTCACTTTTGACGCATTATGCTGTCAATAAACCAATAAAAAAATAATGCTTAAACATACAAAACTTCTTAACTGTTTTAGCTACTTTTATCTGACCAAAATTAATTTACTGAAAACCTTTTTCAAGTATAAAAACAACAGAGATACTTATCAAAATGAAAGTATAGTGCTTGATTCAAAAACTTTTTTTGAATTTCTTTGTAAAAAATGTAACTCACATTAACTTATTAATGCAAATGGGTGAGTATCCCAATAAGAACTTGCATTCTGATATCCAATACTTATAACTGTATGCCGATTTTCCTGGAATTTGCAATAATTACTAATCTTGTATTTTTTACCTTTCTTTAAATCACAATAATAAATACACACAATAATTTCTGAATTTACAGTTTGAAAAATATACACCAACTTATCAGTAACACAATAATTACCAGTTTTAGTGATGAGTGGATCTTTGATATCTAGTTTGATCATTGTAACACTACTGATTCTCTTCTCTGATGTATGTGCTGGGTGGTCTAACTTCTTAGGTCCCTCTTCATCTCCTTCAACCATGCTTAATCTGTAAAACAAATGGATTTTCTTTGTGTATTGTGGATTTATTTATTTTAATACCAATTTCTTGGATTAGGAAAACATTGTATTTTCATGGATATTTGATTGTGGTTTTGTCAAAGTCTGCATACATACATATAGAAAATGTGTACTTCGTTGAACATTTACATTCTTGGTTTACCATTACCAACAAAATCCATGAAAATTGGTATCCGCCTTATAATAATGAATACACAGTATATAAACTTTACTTAATTTAGTACCATTGAAGATTTATTTTTATCATATTTTTAAAAAAGACGAATTCAGAATAATTTTTTTGGTGAATGTTAGTAAGATTGTCAGTTTTTTAATGAAAATAAACTAGAGGCTCTCAAGAGCCTGTGTCGCTCACCTATAATTACTGATGCTTTGGAAATCATGTAAAATTAGGTAAAAATCATAATTAATAGTATTAGATATTAGATATTATAATGATATCTAAGATAATAACAAACTAGAGGCTCTCAAGAGCCTGTGTCGCTCACCTGTATTTACTGATGCTTTGGAAATCATGTAAAATAAGGTTAAAATCATAATAAATAGTATTAGATATTAGATATTATAATGATATCTAAGATAACAAAAAAATGCAAAATTTTTGTAAAATTACTAACTCAGGGGCAGCAACCCAACAACGGATTGTCGGATTCGTCTGAAAATTTCAGGGCAGATAAATCTAAATCTGATGAACATTTTTGCCACCTGTCAGATTTGCTCTAAATGCTTTAGTTTCAGAGATATAAACCAAAAACTGCATTTTACCCCTATGTTCTATTTTTAACCAAGTCGGCCATGATGGTTGGAAGGCGGGGTCATCGGAAATTTTTTTTAAACTAGATACCCTAATAAATATTATGGCCAAGTATGGTTAAATTTGTATCAGTAGTTTCAGAGAACATTTTTGTAAAAGATTACAAAAATTGACAAAAAATTGTTAAAAATTGACTATTAAGGGCAATAACTCCTAAAGGGGTTGACTGTCAATTTTGGTCATGACAACTTATTTGTAGATCTTACTTTGCTGAACATTATTGCTGTTTACAGTTTATCTCTATCTATAATAATATTCAAGCTAATAACCAATAAAAACTGCAAAATTTCCTTACAATTACCAATTCAGGGGCAGCAACCAAACAACAGGTAGTCAGATTTGTCTGAAAATTTCAGGGTAGATAGATCTTGACCTGATAATCAGTTTTACCCTATGTCAGATTTACTCTGAATGCTTTGGTTTTTAAGAGATATAAGCCAAAATCTACATTTTACCCCTATATTCTATTTTTAGCCATGGCGGCCATCTTGGTTGGTTGGCGGGGTCATCGGACACATTTCTTAAACTAGATACCCTCATGATGATTGTGGCCAAGTTTGGTAAAATTTGGCCCAGTGGTTTCAGAGGAGAAGATTTTTGTAAAAAGCTAACGACGACGACGACGGACGACAAGTGATGAGAAAAGCTCATTTGGCCCTTTGGGCCAGGTGAGCTAAAAAGAGAATCTCATTAGGAGGCAAGTTTAAATTTCTGATGTATTGAAAGGCAATACTATGAATTAGAGATATCTTGAATTATCTCCCTTTGTCCATAATTGTCGTTGTTTCAACTACAGTTAGTTGTTTTCAACTACAGTTAAGGCCACACCAATACGATTCCTAGTTCTTTGGATTTTCCCGCTCCTGCTTTGGAGAAATTGACTTTTCAATAAAAGAAAATAATTACAGCTTCTGCAAATTTTTGGTCTGCATGCCGCTCCAAAATTAGTTTCTCCTTGACATAGGAGGTCAAGTTCAATATTGACATAGACGTTTTTCTATTTCATATATTGCTCCGATCGATTCAAACGCATTTAGTCTATTAGCAAATTTTTGACCTTTTATTTACACATATATTTATCACACGTGCATTTGAATCGATCGGAGCAATGAGCTAACACAACTGCATATCCCCTTGTTAGTGTATTGGCATGCAAGCAGAACTTTTTGTAAGGGGAAATTTAAGAGTTCCAACGTACGAGACCAAGGTGGTGGTATTGTGATTGGCATGCTCATATTAATTAGGAATGTGTAATTGGTTCAACCACTCCTAGTCAAGCTAAAGAGTTTAAAATGCATTGAAGCTTTTAGGAGCAAAAGGAAAGAGTATTTTTTTGCTCAGTCAGAATAATGAATGTGAATGTGGTGACAGGTATTTCAAGGGAATATTTTAATACATTGAGATCTACATGCATAGCAATATAACTATCTTACTCAGGATGTTGTTTTAGGACAAAGCAAGAAATATTCACCTCACTCATTACGTTTATCCTAAATATGGATAAATAGTTCCAACTGGATGTCAAACAGCCAATAAACAATTATCATTACCATATAATAAAAACAACTATATCAAAAAATATTTATTATCTTTCAGGGGCACTTTTTTGGATACATACACATATTTTAATTTTATTCAACATGTGTCATTTACCTAACTAACATAATTCCTCATGTAAAACTGCATCTGCTATGCTTCCTTAATATATATTCATGTATGGATTTAAATGAAAATTCACGCATACAAAGCTTACTTGATGAAAATAACCAAAATTAACTAAACCACAGTGAGACAAGAAAGTCTGGTATGGTACAAGCACCAATAAATCAAATTGTATGCTTTAGAGTATGTTTCTCCTTATTTTTCTATGAAGTAACCCAGTTATAAGATATACATAAATTCTAAATCACACAATTTAAAAAAAAAAATCATACCGCTCACTTCACTTGTACAGCATTCGCCTCAAAAAAACTCATTTCCAAGAAAAAAATTAAATCCAAAAAATTTCGCTTGCTCTCCCCATATTTTTTGGAGCTTTTGTCCGAAGAACTACAAATCAAATTGGTTTGGCCTAAGGACAAATGAAGTAAACTCAAATTCTTAAAAACATGATTGTTTTGATTATCTAAAGAGTAGTGATAAGGTTGGAAAATTGGTAACAATGAAGCCAGTCACATAAAGGTTGTGAATGCAATCATTACCATAATAAAATATTACTCTACAGAAATTTCCAATAAGCTTCCAACTTACTAAGGCAAAGTTGACCTAAGGTGGATTTAGGTGTTTTTGGGTCATGCAGCTCCTTAAGAATTTAATTTTTTAGACATCCTTGGATTTCAATTGTAAGGTTTCATCATTCTCTTATGAAAGGTAAAACCAGAAAAAAGTTTACTATGCATCAAATTTATAAAGGACTATTTTCGTTTTGTAATCAGACATTGTTTTTGAAAGACTTGAAACCTCAACTCGAACCCGTATTCAATTTATCAAGTCTTTAGCTATTTTATCATTTTCATACCTATTACTTATATCTTTGTATTCATTACTGTAAACATTATTTTTCTTGATGTATGTATCCAATGTTTCAGAAGCTGGATTTCTATAATATTTCTGCATATGAGGCTCTCCTGCTTGCTTCAGTAACTGTGACAGAACCTCAGCCTTCTGTAAGTATGGTCTATGTAATTCCCAGTCCATACCTAAACACTTTAATACTACATCTGAAAAAACATATAAATTAAGTGTTTAATTGTTATTCATTTGTTACTTGACAGCTGTTTAAGTCAGGCATTGTTTCTTCTCAAAGATCAATATTATTTTTCTCTATCTGAGTTTTCTTTAGGATTGAGTAATAGTTATATCAAGTTATTCTGAATAGAATGTAAATAATGGTTATAATAAAAATATATTATTACATAATTTATATTTTCATGTTTACAGAAGATCACAATCAACATGAAACATGCATATAAACCCAGTTTTTGCATCCAAATGTTAAGTGTTAAATAAAAGTTAAAAGTTTCAACACCTTATGCTTTTAAATGAGATATTCCTATAATCCCTTGCAATTTACAAAAAAGATAAAAACAAATATAGTTGTGGTTGTAATGAATGCATTATTATTCTAATTGGAAGGATTATAAAATATGTGATATTTCTTTTGTTTTCTTTCTTCAGTTAAATACCAAAAATTACTTAATATTTGCATAACAATTACGGAAATGGGTATATTTTTGTACCTAAGGATACAGATACATGAAGACATGATGAACTTCACTGAGAAAACCAACACAAACTTGAATTTTTATTGCACTTCTTGTCATGTTGTTAATTATGGCTTTTTGGATATTGATGTTTACAATATCTATATAAGAAAAATCTGATAATCATTTTATAATCAAGTCAATTGTGCATTTTTATTATCAAAAGAGTCTTTTTTCTTTGTTTTATAGGTTGACTTGACAATTAAGGTCAAACATTTTTAATATTCATAATAAGTCTGTGTCAATCTATTAAGACTTGGTCAACCTATTTATATAAAGAGTTGTGCAGCATGGAACAGGTGTAGCAATAGCTGATAATAAAAAAATTAAAAATAAAAATAAAAGTGCATCAAAATTCTATGCTAGTTGCATTTATCAATAAAATGCCTTACTGTGAGGTCCTGGTGTCTGGAGTTTTATCTAAAAGGTTGACAAATATTTCCTTTTTTTAATTTTCATTTATAACTTCTTAACATTCTTATCAAGAACCAACAAGCGAATATATATAAAAGATATGTTAATATGTAATTTATTTCGGTTTTTACAGTAGATTAGTTTTAAATTAAGTAATAAATATGCAATACATTTGGCATGCAGATTACATATTACAATCTCCATGCAAGTTTAAATAGTAACTAACAAGCATGCCACATATATTATATAATATGTATTAAATTTATTAACTGTAAGTGTATGAAAACATATACATGTAACTACAACATCACCCCCTTCCTTCACACTAAATAGATTATATGTTATTAATATCTAAAATTTTGTATTCAATCGAGTACATGCTATACAGATAAAACAAAATTTTCAACTCCTTGTAAGAAACTATTTCAACTCTATTATATCCATGCAGTTAACATGCATTTTCATTAACCTAATATTAAGCTTGGGTTACCACACATTAAAACTCAATCAAAAATCCTGTATAAAAAAGAAAAACAAACCATATTTAGACAAAGGTCCAAGGTACCCTACAAAGCAAATATCATACTTAATTTTAGTTTTAAGAAATTAATTGGAATGTGTGTATTTGCCATAGAATTACCTGAGCAAAAGTGCTATCTAACTCCATCAAAAATACTAATTGTGGCTTTGTTTTTAAACATCATATGAGTATGAGTATTCTTATATGCAATATCAAAATAATTTAAGACTTGTCTCCTATCAATAATTAACTTATCATTTTTCATGCTTTGTAGAACATATGAAATATAAGATACAGTACATAAAAATAGTTAATGCAAAGTTGTTTTTTCAATCGTTAAAATTATTCAATGTGAATATCTCTAGATGTCTGTTCATCTTATTTTAACCATTTAAATCTCATTACTCAACAAAAATTTGAAAATATAACACAAAATAATGATACAATTTACAGACTGAAAGTTTGTCATAAAATGTCATTGGAATACTGTTAACAAATGTATTTATTTTTATACTTTATTTTGTGTTTGACCTTTTGAAGCAGAGTTTGTGACGATTTATTCACAATCTTGTCATTTTGTGATATATTCATATTACAGAAGATTCAAGGTTGAAAAGTTATATTGTGTCAATTCTAAATTGCTTGGAAAATCAGTTTGTTTTCAGTAATAAAGTAAACAGACATGCTTTAAATTTCTTACGCTCAAAGTCTCAAAGCTATAGAGGAAAAAATTTGAAGTAAGCTTGCTGTTTAACACCTAAGGTAAAAATTAAGAAAAAACCATTTGATTGTAAGCATTATATGAATAACACATAGCTGAGAGGGTGATATAGCAGATTGTTATCCTGAGAAAACATTGAGGCAAAACCAAAGTTTACAATGTTTTTTAAGAGGTAACAACTTGCTCTATCACCCTCTCAAATATGAATACTTTATTAAATCCAATTTACTTTTTATATTAAAACAGTAAAATAAGGAAAAATGAAAAATAAAATATTTTCAAAATTTTGCTCTGGATTCTGTCTTTTGGTCATAAAAAAGCCTCTGTTCAAATTTCATAAAATTCCAGTAAGGTTTGACAAAGTTATAAATGTCTTAAAAAACTTTAACCACAGACTGAAACTAAATGTTGACACTGCTGCTGCATACTTCAACTGAATCTATGTGTCTCACTACTGCGTCATTTAAAAAATTGGTGTGTAATGTCATAATAATATCATATTTTGTGCAGATATGAAAAACATGTATAAATATATAGATATGTGTTTAAAACAACAAAAACTGACTATGATTTTGTGGAAATAAAATTTGAAATCATTGTGTGTGCGTCTTAAGTTACCTATGTCACTGACACTAATGTGTTTTTTCTATAAAAATAGTCAAGATAGACAGTACTATTGTAAAGGTAACCATAATGAATTCAGCATGAACATTTTTTTAATAAGAAATAAGCAATATTTCAAACTAGTCAAAACATTTACTAAATTTTATCATCGGTATAAGGACATCATTCGTAAATATAGCTCAACATGCAGACTTCTTATACGTTCAGTATTTCACATCCAATTTTTTATGGAAATATTCTTTATAAATCACAAAAATGTCAGTATTCACCTCTGAAGCTAACAAAACCTTTAAATAGACTTATTAAGAAGGGATATAGTTACGATACTGTTGTCAGGTCATTAAAGATTGCATATTTTGGCGTTAATATTGATTCACTTATAGGGTCTTTGCATCGGCACTAAACACATTTATTTAAAAACCAGTTGTTGGCATGACACGGGTTATGTTCTTCTCATATATGTTATGATGGTATGATACTAAACCGCTAACGGGAAGGATTGTGCCTGATATTCATATGATGAAGACATAATCTTTCAATCAGTTTAATTGAAGTCTGGAGCTGGCATGTCAGTTAACTGCTAGTAGTCTGTTGTTATTTATGTATTATTGTCATTTTGTTTATTTTCTTTGGTTACATCTTCTGACATCAGACTCGGACTTCTCTTGAACTGAATTTTAATGTGCGTATTGTTATGCGTTTACTTTTCTATATTGGCTAGAGGTATAGGGGGAGGGTTGAGATCTCATAAACATGTTTAACCCGCCGCATTTTTGCGCCTGTCCCAAGTCAGGAGCCTCTAGCCTTTGTTAGTCTTGTATTATTTTTAATTTTAGTTTCTTGTTCACAATTTGGAGTTTAGTATGGCATTCATTATCACTGAACTAGTATATATATTTGTTTAGGGGCCAGCTGAAGGACGCCTCCGGGTGCGGGAATTTCTCGCTGCACTGAAGACCTGTTGGTGACCTTCTGCTGTTGTCTGTTCTATGGTCGGGTTGTTGTCTCTTTGACACATTCCCCATTTCCATTCTCAATTTTAATATTAAATTATTACTTATAAGATTAAAATATATATTAAACATTTATGAAAACAAACAAATTAAAAAGTTTTGTCACTACGGTATTTAATTTGAAATATTGACATATTTCAAGTTTTTCATAAAAAAAATAACAATTTAGGGACCATAAATATCAATAAACATTCAGTCACAGTCAGTATTTTTTAACCAATATATCATAAAAGAAAATAATGTTCAGATTAACTTTTCTAGTTTCCTTTTATAAAACAGGGACACAGGCTCATATAACAAATACAGTAATGAAATTATATATTTCTTGCTCTATAGTTATTATCAACTAATAATACTAAATTAAAAAGCTACTTTAAGTTATTAAAAGGAAATTACTGACAGATATAGAAAAAGGTAATAAAAACAACATTGAAATTAAAAGTTATATAAAAGAACATGGGAGGTAAGCAATTAAAACAAGAATTTACGATTAATGCACTGTTTCTACAGAAATTCATATTATTACTTGCTAGTTGTTTGTATATGTTATTAAACTAAACAAATCTATATATATATTTGTTCAGTTTGTATGATGTTAATCTATAGAAATATGGACATAAAAATATAGTTGGCTGTATATAAACCATGCAAGTCATAAATCACATTTATATTCTGCCAACGCAGACCAATAAAACTATATGCTATATATATATACACGTATAAAGACCTAAATCAAACTACCAGCTACCCAACATCAAAAACTAAAACTCACCATGGTCTGGTATTTTTCTAACTGTAATTTTAAATGTTTGAATAAAAGAACAACTTATTTCAAAATGGAAAGCCCCAATTGTTTATTGACTATTAAAGGCTCTGTATATGAACTTCTAGATCAGTCTTTATTCTAGTAAAATATACAACAAGGAAAGAGCTCTGTCAAATTGACAGCTACTGGAATTTCTGTTACTGTATGCTGAAGGTAACCATTGTTCGACTTAACAAACTTAACAGGGCAGCTAGTATGAATGAAATTGATGTATTCTAATGTATGGCATTTTCAGGTTTGTTTGACCTGCCACATTCTGTGCATATTATTCAATCTATCAAAGATCATATGTCCTGACCAGTAAAAGTGAAAATAGTTTTGTCATGAGTAACAACATATTAATATTTGAAAAGAATTTTCTGAACGGTGACATAAGTTATTGCTAAAAAACGAAATAAAGTGCCATTTTCCAAATTATTAAGGACTTGGAAGGCTAAAGTGAAAATCACCAATCTTCAATTTGACCTCCATTTTGTCATCAGTTACAACATATTACAATTTGAAACCCATTGGTTGAAGGGTTCATAAGTTATTGCACTGAAAGGACAAAAAGTGTCATTTTTCAATCTGTACAGGACCATAACTCCTGAACGGCAAAAGTGAATATCATCAATATCTAACTTGACCTCTTTTTAGTCATCAGTAACAACATACTTAAATTTGAATAGTATAGGTTGAACAGTTTATAAGTTATTGCAAGGAAACTGATGGCTGATGTTCACTGTACTTCACCATTTAAATAACCAGAATTTTTTCCTTTTGGTAAATAAAAGCATTTTTCAATGTATCTGTTGTTATTTCACTGTCCAAGGTTAAAAAAGGGGGGATGGGAGGGAGGTTCAGTCCTTTAAACCTATTTCAACCCTGTTAATTTGAATATGCCTATCCAAAGTCAGGAATCTAGTCAATTTCTGTCTTTGTTCATCTTTTTGTGTTTTTGTTCTTCAAAGAATTTAGTGTTGATGGAAAATCTAAGGGAGTCACTAATAAAATTATTAAATACTTGCTTAAAGTTGGGGCTATCAAGAGTTGGATATATATATCAGACAGTTCTTTATTTTTGAAGTACCTATGTTGACTTTATACATCCTTTCTTGTTTCATTGCATTGCTAGGCTGCTGTCTTGTTGCTGTATACCCAACATCTACTTTCATTTGTGTTAAATTTATGAAAACAGTTTAGGCAATAAAAGACACTACCGGTATTCTGATTTAAAAAGTATATTAAAGACAGTAAAACATGTATAAACTGAAGTATTGAAATTAAAAAATCTGTTTTAACTAGCTTCTGGTTTCAGTTCCCATTATCAACTATAAAAAGAGGATATGTATAATAAAAATCTCTAGTACAAATTGGTTTGTTTAACATGGTTAAGACAGGTTTTTCTATACTTTCTAAAAATATTCAAATCATTGTTTTGTGCTTATTTTTATATTTTCCCCTCTTATTTTTGCTTTGATTGATATCACTGGAGGCATGCTGAATTTAAAAAGAGGCTGGTTTGAAGGAATATTGTGCATGTGTGTAAGCAGGGTATAATATGTTTGTGATTATTCATCACACTGCTTGATTAATACATAGTTTTTTGTGCATTGCTAGCTAATGCTAGGACGTCTAAATAAAAGTGTCCATTTATAATACCTGGTCCAATAAAACTCTGGCTTTTCTTGGAATGATACAGAAATATATCTTTAGGTGTAGCTGGTCTGGCATTAGCAGGTATAAACTTCCTAATTGGACCTGAAGTACTTGGTGTTGGACTACAAAACAAACAAATTATCAATAAAATGAAAATCAAATTTCTTTATAAATTCACCAGGAGACATATTTCTATGACCAGTATTGTTTGTTTCTGAGTTTTAAGTATTTTTATCTATGAATTCTTGAATAATGCCATTTATTCCTAATAAACTGCTTCGCTGAGCGCAATTGGATACGCCCGCAGAGGTCCAACCCTGAACAGTTGGGAGCAAAAATGGACACAATATTCAAGCTTGATACAGGTATGAATTTGGATTGTAATTAAATATTTGACATATTATAGGTTTCTGAATAAATGTAGTCAAAGAACTTGAAATTGGTTATATGAATTGAATTTATATTCAATTAACGATTTCTTGCTGTTGTGCAATACACTGTGCTGTTGCGCAATACTTAGTAAATCTGTTGTCAGACTATAAACAAATAAAGTTCAATTAATTCTCAATGTCATAATAGAAATTTATGAAAATGTAAAGGGAGCTTACATCAATAGATATAAACAATTCACCAAAGTTTCATGAGAATTGCTGACAGCATTTTTGAGTTATTGTCCGAAAACTGGAAAATCCCCCTTTTTTAATGAATAAAACCCCAGAACTCAGAAATGATAAATGAAAAATTTATAAAATTCTAAACAGAGCTTACATCAATAGATATAAACAATTCACCAAAGTTTCATAAGAACTGCTGAAGTTATTGTCTGAAAACTGGAAAATCCCCCCTTTTTTAATGAATAAAACCCCATAACTCAGAAATGATAAATGAAAAATTTATAAAATTCTAAACGGAGCTTACATCAATAGATATAAACAATTCACCAAAGTTTCATAAGAACTGCTGAAAGCATTTTTGATATTTTGTCCGAAACTGGAAAATCCCCCTTTTTTATAAATAAAACCCTGTAACTCGGAAACGTAAAATCTAAAATTTATAAAAAATGAAAGGGAGCTCACGTCAATAGATATAAACAATTCACCAAAGTTTTATGCAAATTGGTTAAAGCGTTTTTGAGTTAATGTCTGACATGTTGACAACAGACGGACAGACAGACGGACGGACGGACAGAAGTATACCATAATACGTCCCGTAAACGGGCGTATAAAAATGCTATGAACTGAAAGGATACAACTATTTTGAAAGGTAAAATTTCAAGGTTCTGGTAGACAGCAACAACACATAATGAAGTTCAGTCTTTTCGGATTAGATTAATATCAAAATTTCAGTATGAGATTTATTCATTGAACTACTAAAAAATTACAAATACTTTGACCATGAAAAACATGTTATAGATCAACAGTAAAAATGTTATGCTTTTATTGTTCAATTTTTCACATTTTTTCATTGTCTAGTCAGTAGTTGTACGTACCCCCTTAGCTTTGAAGGAGCTCTGACAAGAACGGTAGATTCCCTGGAAAGTAGTCCTAAACCTGGCTTACTGCTAGCAGTACTTGGTACTTGAGACACTGTAAGAGGACGATCTACTACCTGATGGAATACATAAGGTCTCTCAGCTTCTAAGTGTAAAGATGACTGGGGATTCTCAGCTGTAAAAAAATCAAGAAAATAATGACAAAAACATTCTAGGACTAAAAATAAACATGATAAAGGGTAATGTGATCTGGAGTTTATGTCAATGAGACAGCAAGACAACAACAAAAACAACCTATAGATAATCATTTTATTTGCATAGAAATAATATTCTACATTTTGAATTTCATCTACATTTTTTAATATTTTTTGTAAGGTAATTGATCTACAATATATAGTAGATAGAAAATAGAGGATCTGAAGATGGTCAGAAGCTGAAACATCTTGAAAACAGTTTACATACTACCGGAAATGAAGCAGAATTACCTGCCTTAAAATGAACAATAAGTACCTACAACAATGTTAAGTTATATGTTCCCTTTTAAAATTTCTACACAAGAATATATTTTTTAATGCCAAAATTTCCAGAACTTTTTGAGTAGTTAACAGGATTCTACATTTTCTGAATATCTTTTTTTTTGTATTTTCCCTTCCTATAAACTATCATGACTATAGGCATTTTTTTTTATAATGTTGGACAATCTGAGTTATATTTTGTTGTTGACAAATACTTTGATGACCAAATAAAGTGTTGAACGGAGTAAAATTTTATGGTCACTTGCCCAAAAGACAAATTGTTTAAAAGTTAATGTGGAACCCTGCAGTACAAATGTATTTCATATAGTAAATATCATGATGCTTGAAATAGCCTACCCCTCACTAAAATACTACTTTTTTATATTGACAAAAAGTATTTGTAAACATCATAACTCTCTTAACATTTAAAAACATTCCTTATTTGTTTACTTCAGAGTTTTAATGTTTAGAATGCTATTTAGTATAGAATTTTATTTTAATTCTGCTTCCGTATTTACCACTTCTGCAGATTGATACTTAACCATCTGGTATCCTATTCGGTATGCTATTCATTTTTTTCCCATTTTATGCAATCTGTGTGTTCTGTTTTAGAAATATAATATAATATTTCTAAAACATTATATCTTTACCATGTATCAGCTAATTTATGTTTTGATCTGGCTTAAGGTTGCTCATTTCTATTACAGGTTTTCATTACCACTTTGGATACTTATATTTAAAAACATGTTTTACTACATGTATTATAAGGTGGACGGATGGATGGATGGCGGTTTAACATCCAGTGGCATATTCAATGCATATTCAGGGCGAGAACATGATAATCTGAAGCAAGTATAAACCCTGCTTTGTACTAGACAGACACTCTGAACTTGATTTTTAACGTGCTAGTACACAAGGTACCAGTCCACAGGAAGACATGTCACCCTACCCAGACACATTATTCTGACTATGAGCTGACCAGTCTTTGCTCTTACTCCTTACTGCTGCGTGCTTAGGGAAGAAGCAGCAAATAACAATTTTCAAGTCTTTGGTTTCACCCGGCTGGGGTTCATACCCATGACCTTCTGGATTCAAGGCAAACATGATATTAAGAGACCACAGAGGAGATATATTATAAGGTGGATGGGGATCATTAATATATCTTCTCCACATACAAAAACCATAAAAATTATCAAAAATATTTGGAGGTGTAATATCGATTTGAAATCGATTATATTTCAATTTATATACATTTTATATTTGTCATATATTTTTAGATACTAGTACAATTAATATGAAAAATAAATATTTGGTTTTTTTTCTAATTTATATTCGAATAGCAAACATGATATCGTCCTTTAACAAATAACAAATGACCAAAATAAAAAATATTTCTTCATATCAATTGCAAATCATTGACTCAAATAAAACAATGTTTGATTATCTCAATTATCAATAATTACATAGTCAATTATTACCATCATCCAGTTCTCAAACTAAAGATGGATAATCAATAGACGACTTTCAAATTTATGTATTTTCCCGTAGATATCCTATGTCACAATGCTTAAGAGTTATTACCTCACAGTAAGAACCGATTGTTCTATGACGTAATTTACATTGATTGACCTCAGGTGAATCGGTGAAACTCATTCATAAAAACCCTACCATAAACAATTATATTTCAAGGAAGCAGGACCTTCTTTTAAGTAAATCAACCAAAAATTGAACTTAGTTTACATTTTATGGTCAGCAGTTTCCTTTAAAAGATCTTGTTAAACAGTATTTTAAATTCTTATTTCTAAAAGTCAACTATGACAAAACAGGAAACAAATAAGCATGATAACTTATGTGATTCAGACATTTCAAGTTCTACAATATATTTTATCAAAATATATATTTTCCATACCTGTTATAATATTTATCATATTTGTGTTGTACGGCATGTTGATAGATTTGATGGCTTGCCTGCTGCCAAGGAGATCGCTCCCAAGGGAATCTGGCAAACGCCATCTGTTGGTACCTCCAACCTGTTTCCTAACTCGACATCTAGGTGTAACAGCATGCTGAAATAGTAAATACAATGTAAGATGATTTGGCTGATCCAATATATTACATGTATGTAACTTGTAATTTCAATTTCATATCTGGGAAATTTGATTGATTTGTTGAAATTGGCTTTGAACTTTCTTTCAGTATCTGCGAGTACTCTTAGATTGGTACCTTGTGACTTTTGTGTGCTTAAATCTGATCTGATGAATCAAGCCTTTTCGAATTAATTTTTTATGGTTATTAAACAGTCATTTACACTCCTTTTGGTCTCTTGGTGAATTATAGCTATATATATGTTGTCTAATTGGCAATTATACACATATCCTATTTTTTATAAGTAAAATAAAACCTCAGTATGTTGTTTTATATACATATCTCAAGCTTTTTTTCTTGAACTCAAAAACCAGATATATAGCGCCAATATTTATAATAGCAATCTACCTATACTCCATAGAGCCAAACTACTTCTATTGAAGTGTAAGACTTGATATCATTATACTTTCTGTAAGAATGTTTCTAGATAATAAGTAAATGAACATACATCAACAGTTTTACAACATGAACTATGAAAAATTGTGTACCTATTATAGTAAAAATATTTATAAACAATTTGTGGAATGCAACAGTTTAAAATCACACTGCTGCTGCAGTCATGACAGAAGTTGGTTAATTTGTTTACAGTCTACTATTGTATATTTAGTTTCTAAAAAAAATTATTATCAAATAATACAAGAAACAAATACACCCATTACTATTTGTGTGCCATTACTGGACATCACAACGGTTTCCATAAAATTTTGATGTCACAATAGAAAATGTCTGAAGCCACAAAGGAAAAGTGATTGTTGTATAGGTTCAAGTGTTGCAAATTCTTAGGTCAAGTGTCACAGATTCTAAATAGCGATAAGGTCTATTGTTTCCTGTTGCATAAAATTTTGTTAATTATATATCATCTATGGGAACATAAACAGTTGATTAAAACAAGATATGACATGTTCTTTAAAAAAAACAAATACTATAAAATTGTAACATGTAATTTATTAATTAAACCAAAAAATTACCTTGAAAACCAAAAATATTCAAAATCCATTGAGTCTTGAACTCAAAATTACAACCTTTCAATTCATTATTTAATTTGCTTGATCTTAATCTTGTTTACAAATTCGTTAAACAACAAATTGAAAAAGGTGGATTTCATACCTTACGACTATAAACAGACACCATCATTGGAACAATAAAATTGATATATAAATGAAATAATTCATGTATGTGAATATCTTAAGGATGAAATATCTCAACTAGAACACTGTTCAATAAAATGACTTAAATCATCATTAGAGTATTCAAATAAAAAATTCAATGACTTCAGAAACCCAAACATCAATGTATAAAATTTCATTTTGTTATGAAGTACCATTTTACCAGTTCAATACTTTAATACTGTTTCAAGATACTGCAATTACTACGCAGATAAAAGGTTTAAATAGATGTTTAAATGATCAGAAAATTTAAATGTCGCTGAATAGCGGGTGTCTCAACTAATAGTCCTTTCAGTTTATCAGTATGAATACAGATCATTTATCGACATAATAATGCATTGAACAATTTTAAATTGATAAAAATCAATCTTCAACTTATTAGAGTGTTTCAAAAGGCTATAAAATAAATAGCCTACTCTAGTTGATAACTTTAAATGCTCTTGTCTACGCTGGTGAATAAACGCAAGTCAATTTGCTTGCACCTTGAGATCTCTACTTTATAAAATATCGATACAATGTCAGAGTTCTTGTGATATAACCTTGCGACGAATAATTAAGCAGTTCAACCTTGTAAATATGGCCAACTTGGTTATTAAAATTCCTGCCAAGTAATCCTGTCCTCACGAAATTAAGTTAATTGTACCAAGTTTTTCAACGTTTGTTCAAATATCAATTCTAAAGATATAAAAGATCGTGGAAATATATTAGAAAGGTATCACGTTTTAACAATGTGTAAAATGTATTGTAGAGGGGCTGGATACATTGTTTTTGACAAACCTTTTCTTAGATCATCAGCTTTTTTTAAAATAAATCCAATTACTGACTTTACATGGTTTATTCATAGTTGTTTGCAAAAATGTTGTGTTGCAAGTATTTCATACATATATACTAAACAAGAACAACATTAAGAAATAAGCTTTGCGTGTCCTGAAAAATGTGTGAAATGGTTTATATTGTCAATGAAATTGTTACTGCCACTGGAAAAAGGTGTGTTGGGCTAAGTCAGAAAATACACTTTGGAATGGGCTAAAAGTAAACCCTGAAAAGAGTTGCTGAAATTTTTTTTACATGGTGACAGTACAAATATCCCCAACCTATGACATTTAAAATGAATAATCCCCATTCTGACAGTACGGTTTCTAGTTCTAAATCAAAACTATCTTTATTCACCACTTTTTTAATCTGCGGACAATTTGAAGCTTGGTATATTATCATGATTATATTATACTATTTGAAGCATTTGTTGCCTTATAGATGTCTTAAGATTGTTTGTGCCATTTGTGCTAAAGTTACACCCCAAAGGATCTCCTTTAATTTATTCATATTTTCAATGTTGTTGAAGTTTGCAAACATGGGCAAAGAATTCTTTATAATTCATCTGACATAAATGTTTTGTAGGATCAAATTTTATTCAATAGCAACCTACATAGCAAAGAATAGTAATTAATCCCTGTATTCATCTGTCAAATAATTTAGAAATGTGTATTAGCTTTTTAACAAATTATATTCAAATATAAGATGTTCAATCTGATCTGATATAAATTAAACTGAAAGCAAATGTATTTTTTTAGCAAAGCTGACATACATATTAATTGGCTGAAAACTAAATCCAATTTATTAAAATTCTAAGTATTCAGTATCACTCCCCATCATAAAATCGTCACACATGTATATCAAAAATCAATTTCAACGTACTTCAATAATCTTATTACTGTATTAAATATAAGTGTTAGAAGTATTTTCTTTATAACTTAGGTAGTCTGTAAACAATTAAATGTCCCTAGTCATTTTAGATTTAATATGAACAACCTGCCAATCTTAAAATCAATATTTGTCAAGTAAACATAACAGAGAGGGTTTAAAGCACTTTATAATTTACTTAAATGAAACCTAAAATTTAAAAATGTAACTTTATCAAACTGGTGTTTGTGTTTACATAGTTATTTGACGCAGTCAAAATATTTTCATTTTCTGCGGTCTTGTGCTTCATATTAGAATATAGAGCACAAGACTACAGCATGTACTTTAATTAAAAAAAATGTCTTGAAACTTTAAGGCACATTGTACATGTTTAATCCTCACTTACATTTTAAAATGTAAACATGAATGAATGAAATATATTCAGCAAATATAAAAAAGGAGATGTGGTATGATTGCCAATGAGACAACTCTCCACATGAGACCAAATGACACAGAAATTAACAACTATAGGTCACCGCCTTCAACAATGAGCAGTCAGAATTTGGCTGAATCAACAGTGTGCAGCTGATACGGCTGCACACTGTTGATTCAGCCAAATTCAGATTGAACACTATGTTTCTAAAAAACTCTGTTGATTTGATTGATTAATTGATGTTTAATGCCACTTTCCCTCCCTGGTGCTTTCGACTTGAGAACCGTCGTACACAAGCATCGCACAAGTTGGCACTCCAAGGCGGGTGGGGAGCAAGAAGGTGAACTGTGGTTTATTTTTATCAATAGTACCGCTAAAGTCGATGCTAGGGGCCGTCTTGACCTTGTTGTAGGGTATGAATGATTCGTTCATTGTTGAAGACCCTACATCAACTGTCAAGATGAAGAATCAGGATAAAAGCCCTGTAAATTGATAATTTTCTATGTTTTCTATGTATTGTGTGTGATTTTGTCCCATGTACATTTACTCCATATCCTTTCATTTTCTATAGACACATTTGAATAACATTTTAGTCCTGGATAAAGCATCAATCAAAATGATGTACACACTGTAAACTGAGAAAATTTTGGGATAAGCTTTTACAGAACTATACCACAAGGCAGAAAAATTAAATTAATAAAAGGGTTATTTTATTTTGCAGTATTTGCAAGTCTATTGGAAATCTCTCTCTCTCGCAAAATTATGAATAAATAATTTTTACATCTTCAATTATCCTATCCTATGGTGATTCACTCAAATCAATATATGTGGCTGTGTGACTTTTACAAGAATAACCTTATACATGTATCATGTACAAAATTTCTACTTGTACTATTCTTTTATTCTATTTGGTAAAATGTTTGAGCTGTATTTTTTAAATTTCAAGAATGAGGTTTCTCTACCATGATACTTTTACAATAAAAACAATACACTAGCAAATATAAGATGCTCCCTCCATAATCAGTTTTCTTTCTCCAAGCTTGATATTGAATACCAATCATATCATGCAGCAGATTTGCATCTCTTCCCATAAGCAGTACTTTAGTATTAATCAGCAGATTTCTGTATATTGTTATCATAAAATAATATCAAACATCAATTGTAGTCAGATCAAATCTTTTCAATTTCAGAAGGCCAATATGAGTATAGGGAAATATAAGTTTTGATACCATCAAACAATCTCTTTATGAATCAGAAAACTGTCTACAAATGTATCTATCATCATTAATGCCATCAAAGCAATCATCATCCAGGCAGCTATGTTATACATGTATATATAGCCTGGTACATAACTTGATATATTTATTTACCCTTTCTGGATATCTTCCATCCACAATCACACCCATCAATGCTGTGTATGGCGCTTCATTGACAGATCTACAAAAGAAGGTATCAAGGAATTTTAACATACATTTGTACATGTACATGTATTTTTTTTATGATATTTACTGATGGCAGTGATGAGATCTTTCAGCTTCCTTAGAAGAATGGCATACAGTGTAGATGTCATGAATACTTTTCTATCTGCATGCACTACAATTCTGTATGTTAGATTTTAACGCACATTTTTATTACCTACAACTTAATTGTTTCCATATCATATGATTAGTAAGCAGACTCTTTATAGATTACAAATGTAGAAGAAGAAGAAGAAGAAGTAGAGAGAACTTTCAGTGTTGCCAAACCCTGTGCAAAGTTTTCAAGCAGAACCAATTACAGATGTACATTCAAATTTTAATTTGGTTCCTTACTTGGAAGAAGAAATGTATATATATAATTCACTAAGTACATGTATGTGCTAAACACTTCTGGGATTCAGTGTCCAGAGCTATTTTCTGATTGTCAGGCACAATCAGAAAATCCCTCTGCATGCAGAATCCCAAAAGGGAGTAACCTAAAGCTATAAAATATTTCTATACATGTATAATGATGTGGGTTCATGGCCTAGTGGCTAAGACTGATAGCTACAGTGTTGAATGTCCTGGGGTCGATCCTGACTTTATGTGCTGGAAATTTCATTACATTTAATAATGTGGTGATTTTCTAATTCCAATCCCAAACACAATTCAGGTACCCAGACTAGAGTTTAAACAAGAATGGGTACTCTGCGGGCCTTGCTTGGTCACAGTTGCACCCTGGACATCAATCTGCAGGTATCTCTTTTTTTTCTGTTCCCACCGAAAAGCCCTCTATAGTTCTCTAAGAGTACTTCAGCTTTCTCCACCATAATGACAGACTTTTTGGAGTCCTAACACTCCATTGTTATCCCTTGAGGGTTCTGTGTCTGGAGTGACATTCTGATCAGAGGATGGCCAGATCAGAAAATTGCTCAAGACACAGAATAAACAAAGGCATTAACGAGGGTCATAATGGGGGTACCTTCATGACGAATTACGGTAAATAAAATTGCCAAATGACGTTAACAGTATTTTTTGGTGCATGACGATAAAACATTCACTTTTTTATGATGACAATATAATCGACTGATTTTGATGAATCAGTTAAATTCTTTCCAAAAATAAAGGTAACGGTTAATTATTTGAGTCCTCTGACGAATCACGATTTGACGCCAACGGTAGCAGAACACGATCGTTTGATGCCTCATTCCTACCCTCATTAACACCCTTGGTGTTGGGTTCTGGATTGTTTGTGGTGTATATAATTATAAATTAGTGACACATCTCCATAAATACAATGGGGGAGTGTTCATGGATTCCTTTGTACCTTTGCAGCTTTCGAATAAAGGAGTAATTTACGTATATGTACATATATATACGGTACTTGACTCCAGCTTTCTATCTGACTGTATTCTCAAGAATATTGGAATAGTTTTATTCCATGCCTCTTACTAAATCTCGTTTTAATTTGTCATTTGAACATCTTTTGCAGAGTGTAGCAGTTAATAAGACCAAAGAGCGAACCGTCAGATGTTTTTTTCTTCCCTTGGGCTCTCGATATTTTTATTTTTTTTGCGATTGCTAACATTTAGCTGATGTCGCACAGAGATTTTTTGTTTCTTTAAAGAACCTAATGAACGTAATAATTGTTGCCCGATTTAAAACATGTAAAATTATAATTTACAAAACATACTGTGAATATGAAATAGCAGCTTTTGGAACTCCTCTAGGAATTGTCGGAAAGTAAGAAGTTGTACTAAGCCTCGAAAGCTGAGGAGGCATGTTACTTGAAACTTCCGCCATTATTAGCTTGACCAAACAACAGCTGATGCTGTAAGCATGCGAGCGATAAAATAGTCTAAATCGTCTCAGTAGAACAAGATGTGAACAACTGGCCGTGAATCAATCTTTTATGAACAGATAAGCATTATTATCTTGAAATACATTGAATGCAAAAAACTTATTTCGTTAAATCAAAAGAATAAGACTGTGCGGATGGATATATTCGTATCTGTCTATGTAACTAAGGACTCGATAATCTAAAAATAGACTTTCGGTGTAAACAAGAACACGTGGTAATGTTTTTTAAATGAATACTATGTACAGCGAGTCTGCAATTTCTTAATTTTCTAATTTAAACCGACTTGACATAATTTTTAATTATTTATTTTACAAACTTCTCAATATTTGGGTCGAAGAGACAATATATAATTCATTCATATAAATATAATTTTTATCTGAAATAAGCTTGACTGTGACCTGAGTGACCAACATTACTAAATGTCAGCTAAATTTTTACATTTAGATACTAGATTTATTTCTAAAATGTTATCATAGCAACGTATATTGATAATTCAAAATTACGTGTGTTGACCATCGTTATATAATGCATCGAGGGTCCTTCTTCTTCCCGTTACGAGTCGGATTCTAGTTGCAATTGATTGTATTTTACTCGGACGCATATCAAAAAGACAAGAGGCCAGTCCTTTTGCCAAAAGTAAAAGTCCAGGAAAACTAGATGGTATTTACAGTAAAATCGAAAATCAACATCATAGGTAAATGCATATTTACAACTATGTACACTGGATATCATGCTGTCTAGTTGGGATGTGGATGGGTCCAGGAGATGGTGTTCACACTGGCCCTGAAGTCTCCAATGATCCGGACTCCACTGCAGATAAAAGTTGTCACTGAACCTAGTGTAAGCCTGAAAATTCTTGCCCAAAACTTTTGAATTGTGATAAATCCGCTATTCTTTATTATAAATTGCACCCGTGTTTTCCCCTAAGCTCCTGCAATTTGCCCTAGGTCATACGTCAGTTCAGTCTCGGACTAGCCTCAAGGGGAAAGCTATACAGAATAACAAATAAGAAAAACATATTATTTGTAATGGGGTTTTCTCTGGTGACAACTGTAAATAAAATTATTACAAAGAATCATTTTACAATATGCATTCATTCTGAAGTATGTAATCTCTTATTCCGCGCAGGACCATGATTTGCCCTTAAGATCCCAAATAACTCGGCATACAATATAGAAGAAATTATGACATGTTAGAATTAAAACTTATTCTATCAGTAACCTTTAATCACAAGTTACAAAAATAGAACACATTAAGAACTAGTAATGGCATTTTTTTTAAATAAAGATATGGAGATGTGGTAGTATTGCAAATGAGAAAACTAACCAGAGATATGTAAATCTGAAGACTGTCGTTAAAATATAGAATGCCAATTTGAGGAAGCTTCTGATAGGTTCTTGTCAACATTTTTTGATGCGTATCAATACGTATTTATAATTCAACCTTCGATTCGTCGCCACACAGTGTTTAGCAGCACTTTCACTTACGAAAACAGGAGTTACTTTAAAAAAAATAGCAATTAATACTGAGAGACAAATTTGGTCACTACCTAGCTTCATTTGGAATGAACTTACTGACCTGCACCCATCTCAAACTGTGACAGCTTGGGAAAATCTTTCGATAAAATTGAGTGTGACATTTTGATAAGAAAATGAAAACGTAGTGGGTTATTTTCTTACACCATGCCAGTGATGTAGCTTCCACTGAGGCAATGATGCAATTGTCTATTTAAACCGATCTTTTACCAATAAAAATAGATACGATATAAGGAGATATATAAAGTATATTTCATAGTACAGAGCATAGTGAAGATTGTTCCAAAACGTTCGCAATATCTACCCTTTAGCATTCATTCCTCGTTATTAACCTAAAAAAGTATATGCCGAACCAAAAATGACTAACGTAGTTATCTAGTTTAAGGAAGGGACACATTATACTGTGTAAATGATTCAAACAAGAGGTCAGACTTCATGTTTCACCCAGTTATAATGTATCCATGCATCTTGGTACCTCCCTTTAAACATATATAAAGTTATCTTACCTCCTATACATTTCTATGAATATTATTGGTTTTAACAAGATTTAGAATTGGAGCTCACAAACTTGAAATAGAAAAAGGTCGTTATTTTAATATAAAACTAGAAAATAGAATATGCAAACTCTGCCGTGTAATGAGGAAATAGAAGATGAGATGCATTTTCTTTTAACATGTAAAGCTTTGGTTATACTATATGCAAACTCTGTAATGAGGAAATAGAAGATGAGATGCATTTTCTTTTGACATGTAAAGCTTTGATATATACTTGACTTTTATACTAATGTATGCAATGTATGTTTGCATTTTGTTTGTGATTTTTTTTTATCATGGATGAGGGCCTCAGGGAAGATTAGTTATATAACTAACTGTGTAACCCTCTTAAAATAAAGTATTGTTGTTGTTGTTGGTTAATGTTAGAAATCCCTATCTTAGCAAAATATTTAGTAAAAATAAAAATATTTCAAAACTTGATAACAAATCTCTGTTTATTTGGTTAATGGGAAATGAAGATAAAAATATTTTGATTATAATTTGTCAATTATTAGAGGTTTTAGATAAAAACAGGAATACAATACTAAATTAGATTACTTTATATAGAGTTATAGATATATATGATCATATATGCATTTACAATAGTTACTATTTACATTTAATTAATAATTGGTATGCTGTGAGGTGTACTGTCCAATAAAGGGTCCAGAATAACAAACAATGGGTCATATTATATATTTTTATTATAACAAATTACTTATTTCAGTTACTTTGATATTATATATTAATCAATTAAATCAAAATTAATCATGTTATGTACTTTGTTTAACCTATTTTTAATTTACTTTTATATTATGTTTGAAATTAATTATTCTGCTCATTTTGGGCGCCGTGATTGGCAAATAAAATATTTGTTTGTTTGTTTGGTCAAGGACGTTTAACTAGCATCTAATATACGTCCTTGGTTTGGTTTAAAGCTACCGTGTGGAGAGCATGCATATCTAAAATGGGTTTAGTAGGCGTGGTTTATTTTAATACACGGTTAGTAGTGGTGTTACGTCCCTCTATAAAAAAAAAAACACGGCGTTGAGGAAAAATCTGAAACGTTTCGTCCAAACAACAGACGAAGAAATTAATGATGAACGACTGAAATAAATGCAGAAAACACATTAACAGCTACCAATTTGTTATTGTTGGCATTTGTTTTGTATAGACCAATGGACGTATCTTTGATGAATTTTTGGTTGTGTGGGATGTATGAATACACAGTCACTTCAAGTCGGAACGATACAGTCAAATCTCATGTAAAGATAGTCCATTGTCTCTCTAAACGTCTCAGAACACACGAAACACATGCAACAACTATTTTAGGGGACCTTACGGAGCCTTATTGCAAGGCAAAATTTCTGCTCCTGTCTAACATGCCCTTCTTTTCCAGTTGCAGACAAAATTTGTGCTCTCATCCAGATCGACCCACTCTACAGAACATATGTATTGGAGTAGTACGTGTTAATGTATTCATGCTTGTGCTGAATTTGCATGAAATACTTGTCATATGGCAAGCTAAAAATCAATAAAGAGAACCTGTATAAAATTCTACTTTTTCTTCTTTTTTCATTTGTAAATGCTTACTATTATGTGACGACGGTTCACCATGGGAACCAACTTTGTTTCTCCTCTCACAAACCCAATTCGTATCAGATAGACGTCTACATTTACTTATCAAGAAGTTTTAGAAAAATAAAACTTTTGTCAGACTGTTAGTCGCATCTATATATATATATATAGAGTCTATTAGAATCTACTAACCAGTAAACTTAATAGGTATTGGATCATCAAAATTGACAATACTACACAAACAGGGAAAATTATATGAGTCTAAAAGATTGTGTAACAATACCGATAAATAGATGGAAAACAAAACACTAAAAAGTGTTGAATATCATCGCACAAAGATGGAAAAACTGAACAGATGATATAAATTATACAATAATTGCAAATATTTCGGCTCAACAAATGGCCTTCCTCAGTGTTAAAAGTTTTAACAATACTGATATATAATGTATAAGGTGTAAACATAGATCAGTAATAATACAGGTAAGTTTTGGTCGATTGATTTTAATCCAAAATCCTGAATATCATAATATAAACATTACAAGCAGAACCAAATACAATGAAAGTCCCAACTATGTATTGGCTTCCGAAGCTACACAAAACACCTTACAAATATAGATTCATTTCGTCTTCAAGCCATTGTTCCACTACTAAATTGTCTATTCTTCTTACCAGTACACTTGGTACAATCAAAAACCTGATAATAAATTGTTCAAATAAGGCCTTCGAAAATAGTGGAATTAATTACTTTTGGAGTGTCAAGAACTCGTTGGAAGTACTTGATAAATTGCATGCATATATTGGTGATTTTGAATCTGTTCAAAGTTTTGATTTTTCTACCCTATATACCACATTGCCTCACATTCTCATTAAGAAAAAATTCACACACCTAATTAAATGGGCATTTAAAAAGTCAGAATGTGAATATATATGTTCAAACTCTTTTAGGTCATTTTTTAGTAGCAATAAACAAAAAAACTATGTCAATTGGACATGCTTTGATACTATATATGCCCTTGAATTTTTACTAGATAACATTTTTGTTCGCTTTGGAGATTCCGTATATCGTCAGGTTATCGGAATTCCAATGGGGACTAACTGTGCACCACTTATTGCGGACCTTTTTTTGTATTGCTATGAGTTACAATTTATGACAAAAATCAGTAAAGACCCATCGAAACAACATCTGATACACAAATTTAATAATACTTTTAGATATTTGGATGATATTTTGGCTCTCAATAATGACGACTTCAGTATGTATACTAAAGAAATTTATCCTGTTGAATTTACTTTAAATAAAGCTAATACTAAC